GATATATATCCTTTTTTTAGATTGTTGGATTCAATTTGCTAAAATTTTGTTTAGAACTTTTACATTTATTTTCATGAGAGATATTGGTCTGTAGCTTTTTTTTGTAATGTCTTTGTCAGATTTTGGTATTAGAGTAATGCTGGCTTCATAGAATGAGTTGGGAAATATTCTTTTCTCTTCAATTTTCTGGAAGAGTTTGTATGGAATGTTTTATTTCTTCTTTACTTGTTTGATAGAATTCCCTAGTGATTCCATCTGGGCCTAGAGTTTTCTTTGTGGAAAAGTTTTTAACTATAAATTCAGTCTCTTTAATAAATATGGGGCTGGGCCGGCCCGGTGGCGCACTGCTACAGTGCGCCGCTTGGGAGCGCGGTGGCGCTCCCGCCAAGGGTTCGGATCCCACATACAGACTGGTTCCCGCTCACTGGCTGAGCGAGGTGCGGGCGCGACACCGAGGGTTGCGATCCCGTTGCCGGTCCCGGTCCGGTACGGGGGCAACACTGAGGGTTGCGATCCGTTGCCGGACACGAAAAAAGACAAAAAGGAAAAAAAAAAATATGGGGCTGTTCAGGTTATCTGTTACTTCTTTTTTTTTTTTTGTCCTTTTTTGTGACCAGTAAGGGGATCGCAACCCTTGGCGTGGTGTCACCTGCACCTGGCTCAGCTAGTGAGCACACCGGCCACCCCTATATAGGATCCGAACCCGCGGCGGGAGCGCCACTGCGCTCCCAACGCCGCACTCTCCTGAGCGAGCCACGGGGCTGGCCCTATCTGTTACTTCTTGAGTGAGCTTTGATAGTTTGTTTTTAGGGAATTTGTTTCATCTAAGTTCTTGAATTTATTGGCATAAAGTTGTTCATAATAGTGCCTGATGGTTATAGTTGTAGAATCTGTAGTGTTGTCACCCCTCCGATTTCTAAAGCTAGTTATTTTATGTCTTTTCTTCTTTTCCTGATGAGTGTTGATAGAGGTTTATCTTTTTTATTGATCTTCTCAAAGCACCCACTTTTGGTTTCATTGATCTCTATTTTTCTTTTCTGTCTCATTGATTTTTGCTCAGTAGTTATTATTTCCTTTCTTCTGCTTACTTTGAGTTTCATTGCTCTTTTTCTTCTTTCTTTTTCTTTTTTTTTTTTTTTTGGTGGCTGGCCGGTATGGGGATCCAAATCCATGACCTTGGTGTTAAAAGGCTATGCTCTAACCAACCGAGCTAACTGGCCAGCTTTTTCTTGTTTCTTAAAGTAGAAGCTGAGGTATTGATTTGAGACCTTCTTTAGTATATTAAATTTTGCCTTAAGTGTACTGTTTTAGGGGCATGCCACAAATTTTGATAATGTCATGTTTTCATCTTTATGCAGTTCAAAATACATCCTAATTTCTCTTTTGATTTCTTCTTTGACTCATGGATTATTTAGAAGTGTGTTAATTTCTAAGTGTATGAGAATTTTCTAGAGATCTTTCTGTAATTTTCTAATTTAATAAAGAATCTTCTAAAAAAATACAACCATAGTACTATTATCCCTTTAAAAAGCAACAGTTCGAAAAGGACAATTTGACAGAATGCAGGAAGGATCAAAGAGAGATCTATGTCAGTTAGGGAAACGTTATAAAAGGCCCAGTGGAATGACTCAAGCTGTGTGGAGGGAGTGGACGAGAAAAGAGAGACTAATAGACGCCAGAGATTGTCAAAGGAAAGATAAGTGTAAGTCTGTAGCTGACAGAATGAGGAAGGTAAAGGAAGGCTGTGTTGAATTAGACCCCAGCAGTGATCAAAGCGATGGAAGTAAGGATTAGGAGAGGGTGGCACACACTTATATTAGACCATGAAGTTTTTAGTTGCCTGGAAGAACTCCGGAAGCTTTTCTGCTTAAGTCAGGGCGTAGAAGCATCCTTGGGAATTGTGATGGGAAGGGAGAGCTAGACTTCTGTTAGTAACATGAAGAGGTAGAAGAAATAAATAAATTTAGGATAAAGGGAAATTTTCCTTTTGGTTGTAGGGGGGAGGAAAGGAGACTAATGCTTATTGTACTTACGTGTGCAGAGCATTTCCTTGTTTGATGTGGTTCACTTGTTGTTTGATGTTCTTGTAGCATCGTATGTGGTAGTTCTTTTTTTTCGGCAGCAGACTGGTACTGTGAACTGAATCATTGACTTTGGTGTTATAGGGCCATGCTCTAACCAACAGAGCTAACAGGCCAGCCCATATGTGGTAGTTCTTAGTTTCTTGGTTTCTACTTACAGATGAGAAAACTGAGATTTGGAGATGAGTAGTATGCCCACAGCCACATAGCTACTAAGTGGTGGAGTTAGGATTTGAACTCAAATTCTACCTGACTGTAATCTGAGTTCTTTCCACTATATATGTAAGTTCATGAATGCACATCAGCAAGTGTACCAGGCTGCTGCTATTCACATATCTGCCTTCTTTTTCCTTTTTTTTTTTTTTTTTTTTTTTTTGTGACAGCTGGATGGTAGAGGGATTGAACCCTGGACCTTGGTGTTATCAGCACCGTGCTCTAACCGACTGAACTAATCAGCTAGCCCAAATACCTGCCTTCTTGTATCACACACTGTATGTTAGTTGTTATGACCCAGAACAATGCTGCTACTCTTATTTTTTTAAAAAATCTGTTGATTTTGTGTTTTGAAGTCCTTAAGAGGGATTTCTGCTTTTTAAGCTAAAATAGTCAAATTATCCATTTATTCAGTAAATCAAATTAGATAAGCAACATTACAGAGGCATGTCTGTGTATGTAGGGTTTTGGTAAATTTTTAGCACTGTTTTGAACCTCGAAAATAGTTTTGAAGGCTTAGATTGTGAAGACTCCCATCTGATGAATTGGGGTTAAGCTGCTGTGATGTTTGTATGGTAGTCTATTCTTTTTTTCATTTTTATTGTTTTGGTGGCCAGCTGGTATGGGGATCTGAACCTTTGACCTTGGTGTTATAATATCGCAGTGTAACCAACTGGGCTAACCAGCCAGCCCTGGTAATCTATTCTTAATGTCTACTGTCAGTAACCTTTTATTGAAATTCAGTGTTTGCTTGCATCATGTAATATTGTTCTGAACTATTACTTTTTAAAAATTAGAATGAAGCATTGGAAAGAAACATCATATTTATTTTACAAGTTCTGTTCTTTAATACCTGACTGGTTATGTTATATTGAACCTGACCTGTGATTAAGTTTTATTGCTTCATCTTGCAGCATTGCTCATGCAGTAATAAGTAAAGCTTATCTAAAGTAAAGCTTATCCTAAATTGGTAACAGCAGAATCATTGTAATTGAGTTGTATGGTGTGTTTTAACATTTTAGCAAGGGAGTGGACCATGGCATGACATTCTGAGCTCAGAAGGAACTGGTTTCCACTGTTTTCATCTTTTTCTTCTTGCATCCTCACCCTACCACTAAGAAGAGTAGAAGTTCTAGACTCAGTTATAGGATGTCTTATAACAGGCTGTGAATGGTGTAATGGATGATTAATGACCTGTCTAGTAAGAGTTAGGATTTACTTCTTTTTTTTTTTTTTTTTCCTTTTTTCGTGTCCAGCAACGGATCGCAACGCTGAGTGTCGCGCCCGTACCGGACCGGGACCGGCAACGGGATCGCAACTCTCGGTGTTGCGCCCACACCTCGCTCAGCCAGTGAGCGGGAACCGGTCTGTATGTGGGATCCGAACCCTCGGCGGGAGCGCCGCCGCACTCCCAAGCGGCGCACTGTAGCAGTGCGCCACCGGGCCGGCCCTTACTTCTGACATGCATGTACTTTTCAGCAGTGGTTAGAGTTATTCACATCAGGTTTGATTTTGTTTGTTTTTCAAGTGTTTGGTTACATTCTCCTTGTAGTGTTTTTTGTTTGGTTTTGGTGGCTGTCCAGTACAGGGACCTGAATCCTTGACCTTCTTGTTATATCTGTATAGTTATTGAGTGATATCTTTAAGGCAGTTGCCTTCCCTTGGCTTGTATTTAGAGCCTTTGTATTTTAAGTGAGGCCTATGGGAGAAGCCTATACACAACTGCCACGTGAGAGTCTGTTGATGAGTTCTAGAAGAGTTATATTCCAAGTGGTGGTGGCTTCATGAGGAGGAGGAGGCCAGGTGTGATTGTGGGTATTGGGAGATATAGGTCCTTGAGTTGTACATTATGGGGGTGAGATGGGATGTGAGGGGGTGGGCTTGTCCTTTAAGATTGGCTTTGAAGGATGAGGGACATTGGGGTTGGGGGAATAATACATGAACTGGAAGGAGCTGCCTGAATCAGGCAAGAGTGACCAGCACAGGATGTCTGTGGCTTGTTTAATGTGAAGAAACAGACTGCTGCTCTGAGCTTAGGGTACTTGGAGGGGGAGTCCCAGAAGGTGGCTTTGAAATTGTAGATCAGGCTCTATTGTGGAGGACTGGCTGTCAAGCAGGGGGATTTGGGTTTAATATTTTTTCTGCTTATGGCACAAGAGTACTGCCCATATTTTTTCCTGTTGGCTCACTTTGTATATTATTCCTAGTGTTCTGGTGGCTCCCTTCTCTACCAGTGCCTTTCCTTTCTTCCCTGTTTGAGGGTCTGTCATGTGCCAGGCCTAGGGTTGTCAAGTAAAATACAGGATGCTCAGTTAAATTTGCCTTTCATATAAATAGCGAGTACTTTTTTAGTCTCATGTGGATAAAATACAGTGAAGTGAGTGCTGTGGCAGAAATGTGCCAGAGAGTTAAGAGAGAGGAGGTGCCGAGTGTCTACAGAGTCAGGGAAGGTGCCACTAAGGAGATGGCGTTGGAGCTGAATCCTGAGGTAAGATGGGAGCAGTTATTTCTCAGGCAAAAAGATGATAAGAGGCTTTCACGGATAGGGAACAGTAGGAGCAAAAGTGTGGGTATTTGAAAGCACGTTGGCTGTATATGTGCTTGAAATGGGAAATGTCGGGGAGGCAGGTTGGAGCTAGGTTTTGAAGGACTGTTTGGGGAGGTGTTTGGCCTTGGGCAGTGAGGCATTGTGACAGGAGAGTGGCTTGGTGAGATTTGTGCTTTAGAGTGTGGAGAAACTATTGAGATATGGAGGGATTGAAGGCAGGGAGAACATTAGGAGGCTGTTGTGGTTGTCCAGTTAGACTTCTTCCCTGACACTGGGATGGGGTTGACAGGGGTTGTGGGGACAGGGAGGAGGGAATGCTGCAAAGTAAAGAATTTCCTTCATTTGCCAAAGGGCGTCTTCACCATTTATAAATGTCTCTGAAGATATAGTGTACCCAGGCCCTCTTTAGTGTCACAGTACGGGTTACCCTTTGTGATAGATAAAGAAAGAAAACCCTTGGAGTTACTGAGCTGTGGTAGAATGGGCATAGCTTTTGTATACAGACCTATTCAGACACATGCTCTAGCAGTTGCCAGCTGTGGAAGCTTTGGATTCACCTTTTCACAGTGGACCTGATAATAATACCTACCTCCTACGATGATGGAGGACTGAATGAAAGGATGTGTGTGGAACCTCCAGGACAGTGCAGACATGTAGTGGGCCCTCTGGGTTTAGTTTCTTTCCCTCTGGCCAGTGAGGTTTCAGAGGGACTGGTGAACAGTGGATCTTGACCATCCATCTTGAATTGTCGGTTTGTGCCAGGCAAGCTGGAGACTACAGAAGGAGGTACAGGTAAGCAGTGAGGCCCTGTGGTTCCTTCTCAGATTTCATTCTGGGAGATTAGAGAGCCCTTTCTTGAGTTGTCTATCCTTTCCTAGGAAAGGTGAATGGAAGTCTTAGGGTGTGACAGGCCCTGTGCATAGACTTTCCCTTCTCTTTCAGCTCTGCCAGCTGCCAGAACTGTGGCTTTCTCAACTCAACAGGCTTTCTGTGCAGACAAGACCCCATTTATGGTATGATACAGAAAAATGAACCCTTCCACCCCAAGTTTAAATGTTTATACCAAAGTTTCTCGGCCTTGGCACTATTGATATTTTAGGCTGTGTAGTTTTTTCTTGGGGGGTGGGGGAGGGGCTGTCCTGTTTATTGTAGGATGTTTAGCAATATCCCTGACTTCAGCTTCTTACACAATTAGTAGTGACCACCAAAAATATCTACAGACAGTGCCATATGTCCCCTAGGGTGCAAAGTTGACCCCTCCCCTTCATTTAATACCATTGCTTTATACGTGTTAGAGATAAGGAAAAAGAACTCCTTAGCATTTTTTATTAATTTTCTTTTTAACCTTACCAGTGAAGTGCTTGTTGAAAAAGACCTCATTTTTACTAAATTTAATTTGAATTCAAATCTATTTTAACTTGTTTAGTTTAGAAGGGTTTCCTTTGTCAAAACAGATTCTCAAATCTAAAATTTTAAGCCTTTTAAAAAGGATATTTTACATTGTTACATTGAGTCATTAGTGAAATACTAAAGAAAATGTTTCATTTTGTGTTTCAGTTCAGAGTTTGTTATAAATGCACAAATATATCAAGTTGATGTTGTCAACTAAAACTGTGGCCGACAGTTAATTTTATGAATATGGTGTCGTGCAAGTTTGTAACTGCCTGCCAAAAGTTTGAGCAGAAAGCATAGTTTGAAGGGGTCTTGAATAAATGTTTTCTTTTTGTAAATATTCAGAAACCTTGGCTGAGTAGGGAGTGGCCAGAGGAGACTCAAAATTTCTTGCATTCTGGAAGTTTGAATTTTGGGAAGTTTAACTTGTTTTGGACTCAATCTGGAAAAATTATTTGTGTGCTGTAGCCAGAAATTCTTTTAGGCTGTCCTTTTCCAGCCTTGTCACTTGTCTGGAATGTTAAATATTGTCAGCAGTTCAACGGCCTTTTCAGCAGCTTGCATTCAAAAGAGAAAAGATCTCCAGAAACAGGTTTGAAGAGGTCTAACGTAAGATAAGTTTTTTTTATTATATTATTCTTTGAAAAGCAGTAAGAAGGAGAAGATTTATTGGTTCTAAGTTTGAAAAAACCCAGGGAACTTATGTTTCTAAATATTTCCTTGTGTTAAATCTTACAGAGTAATAGAGAGAAATTATAAATTAATATGAGTGGAATTCTTTATGGCCCAAACAAGTGGAAATAGAGTTGTACTGTTTTATGACCTTCTGAATTGATGTTAATGATAGTTAACTCCTTTTTTCTAGCATCCAATCTATTAGTTGTGGTTTAGTGGAAAGAGCTCAGACTTTGGGCGAGCTGCTTTCTTTCCTCTCTGATAACAGTTTCTTCCTTCTTTCTAGTTGTGTAAGGCGATGATGAGAATCAAATGTGCCAGTATTTGTGCATTGTGGGCCTTCCACCTTGGCAAGATGGTGGTCTCCAGGCAGTTTGCTCTCCTGTTTAAAAAAACAGTAGCAAACAGTAGCAACATCAAGAAAGTGTCTCAGCCTCCTCATTTCTCTGATTTCTCCCCTTCACAAAGCCAAATTTTTGAAAAGTTCTTTATCCTTCCACCCCCACTCAACTCTTCACCCCACCCCACTGCAGTCTGACTTGGAATATATTATATCCGTCCACCGGTGCTGTGTGGGCCCTGCTCACCATCACCTCCTTAACACTCGGGCATGGCCGATCAGCATGGCCTTTCTCCTGTGGATTCCCCTTCAGTTTCCCTTCACCTTTCTGTGAGGCCATGCTTCCATGCTTCTGTGGCCATGAGGGCATTCAGAGGGGACTGCCCGCCTGGGGTAGGGAGAGGACAGTGGGGTGCGGTTTCTTCTGGAGGCAGAAATGGAGGAGAAGTAGATCTGTATGCCATCTTTCTTCACTGTCATAATTTGCATCACTGATTTCTGGAAGCAGAGAAAACTTCCCTGTTAAATGTATTAAATGTTAGTTGATAATCCCACACCCTAATTTTAGGAATAGAACAAAACCTGTCTTGAAAAATAAGGAAATACTGATTTGTAATACAAACAAACACTTAAAAATTGTGCCTCCTTATTTAGTAAGCACTAGAGTTTTTTGAACAGTATTGGACTTCTGTCTGTGGATTCAGACCAAGAGAATCACAAACCCGAAGGCATCTTACCCCTGCCTTTCTTTTCTTCCTGTTTCATGCATCTTGAATACACACTTACTTGCACATGTGCAGTTTTTGGGCATGACAAGGTTTGGGCTTTCGCACTGAGTAGTCCTTGACTTTTTCAGTGGAGTCCCACTCCAAGTCTGTCTTCAAAATGTGCATATTAAATGCACTTTTCTTAATTTGTGTTATAATTCACAATAAGAAAGGTTAAAAAATGTGTATGTTGAAGAATACAGTATAAGTTCAGCCTGTTGCATTCTGGTTTATTTAATTAAAACATTCCTTGCTGTTTCTTTTCAAAGTTTTGTTTGTTTTTTGGTAGGACACATGATTTTTCCAGAATGGTTGTTGGTGTCAAAGGACAAACTTACAAAAAATTTAAAGACCTCTGGATGGGCAGTTACTCAGTTGGTTAGAGCATGGTGCCAATACCTGCCAGCTGCCAAAAACAAACATAAACAAAAAAAATCCTCAATTGGCTTTCTTGTGATTCTAGAATCAGGCAACACTTCATTCCATAAAATAGAATGAGTGTTCCAATGAGCTGAGCAAAAGAAGTTGGTTTTATAGGAAGAAAAATGGCTGAAGAAAGCAGAAACAAAGAACAAAAAATAGATTGGTCATTTAAAAGTTATTTTCCTTGTGAGGTGGGGACAGGGAGACAGAAAAATAACTGATTTTTTAACATCAGGTTATTTCAGTTTACTTTTGTGTAAAGACTGAAACAGAGGGAACTTCATTATCATGCATACTAAAGACTTAAACTGGACTGTTTGGTATATTGGCTATTATTTCTCTCTTTCTCCTGATTTCTTTGAAGGTCAGAGCACAACTCAATTTGAGTTTGGTCACTCCATTTTGGGGCCTGGTCCAGGAACTTAGTCCAAAACAATAGCTTTTTATAATTTTTATTTAACAGGTTGAAACTACTTTTAGATTTTTAGTGGGATATTGATAGGAAAAAATCCCATAAAAAATCATAACTAATAAGCAATTTCCTCTCTAGAAAAAGTTTTGGGAGCTGGCCGTTTCGCTCAGTTAGAGTGCTGTATTGTAACACCAAAGTCAAGGGTTCGGATTTTCTTATTGGCTAGCCGCCAAGAGAAAAAAAGTTTTGATTCCTGGTTCTGAAGATACAAATCGTGAAATAGGATTTTTGAACTTCTGAAAGAAAGATCGTAATCTGCCCTCCTCACTTTATAAACAAGGCTTGCAGAGTTGGGGTGACTTGCTTAAGGCTATGCAGACAGTGCCAGACCTGGGACCACAATCTAGGTCTCTTGATTACCATTCCAGTGGACTCCCTACCATATAGTTTCAGTATTTCCTGATACATAATTTTCAATGGGAAAGAACCAGAGCTACTGTTGTTTGTTAGCATCTATTCCATGGTATATAATTTAATTAAGTAGTGAGTAAAAACAATCTTTAGTCATTCCTTATAAAGGGTTTCTCTTACAAAGTGTCCTTTTGAGTTGCTGCTTTTATTTTAATAAGGTATTAGTCATACTTGGGGCATGCAGTGTGTTCTTTCATAAATTATGATAGCTCACATTTATCTGGTCTTTACTGTGGGCTGCCACCCAGCTAAACACTTTAGGCTCATCATTTCATTTAATACTCTCAACACCTTTATAAGGTACATAGTATTACCATCTCCATTTTATGTATGAGGAAACTGAGATTTCAGAGAGGTTAAGTAACTTGTCCAAGGATGTAGATTTGATCATATGTGATTGGGGTGGTCTCCTGGATAGTAGTTTTTAAAATAAGCAGAGTGGTGATAAAAACAAACAAACAAACAAATAAATAAGCAAGCAAGCACAGAGGATTTTTAAGATGTCAATTAAATATCAATTAAATGGTTTTAAATAGCAAGATATTTTGTATAATAGAGGGTAAAAAGATTCTGATGTAGGTGAATTGGAGTTTAAAGGAAAAAGTAGTGACAGCAATCATGATCCTGGTGTAACTACAGAAGGGAGGGATTGGGAACTGCCTGTAGTTGCCAAAACAGGTTCCTGTCCCATGCTGTGCCAGAGCTGAAGGTGCCTCTCAGTAAGGGAATGGCCTCAGAGCTCCCTTGTGGTTTCTAGGACAGTCTGTGTTTACCTTGATTCAGGGTGGATCCTTCTGGATGCAATATGACAGTTAAGATAAATTCATAATGTCCTTTTGGCATTATTTCTGAAACTTGATTGGTGTGTTTTTATGGGTGGGTGATTGGAGAAGGTGGGGTTTCCCAGTCACTGAAATAAATTGTCATTACTGATCTTGGATTGTCGTACCATTTTTCTGACCTTTGAGACCTGCTGAGATAACTTTTTCTGGAACTAGGATATAAGGACTTTTGTTCTTGTTGGTTTACACGTTATTTTGTACAAGAATTCTATGAGTTAGGTTTTATCAATTCCCCTTTTTGGGAAAGGAAACAAATTTGCAAAGATATAAAGTGATTAAGTGATTCGCCCACAGTCACATGACTTGTATGGCAAAACTGTAGCTTGAGCCTCAGTCTCCTGACTTTAAGTTCAGGACTCTACTCACTGGAGGGGGATTCTTGTGGTACATTGCAGAGCCTTATCATTTTGTTCTATGTAACGTTGTTATCAATTATGTGAATTATAAGGCTTTTGGAGTCAGAAGGTAACTTAGAGATTCCATAGAATTCAACTTCCTTTTTATTGTACATGAGAATACTGAGTGGTCAAGTGACTTAAATTGAAGATAGCACTAGGTAAGAGGGAGACTAATGGGTTTCAAGTCAAAAGTCAGAATTTAAAAGTATCCGAAAGGCTGGAACCTTGAGCTCAATCTGACAAATAAAATTTTAACAGATACAGGTATAAATTTTTTCAGAATAAAAACTACA